CACTTTTTGACAACCTTTGAGTTTTTATAACTGAGTTCTCGAGACACGAAAGTAAATTTCACTATAGTCTGTCTCCATCTGACAATGCTGTTGCATCTTTTAAATCAACTGTTCCATTTTACTGTCCTCAGCATCTCAGAGGAACATAGCAGAGGGCAATTTTTCATTTCTAGCCCTTCACAAATTGATGATTTAGTTCATAATGTTACTTCTTCTTCACGTTTGGCATTAAATGATGATAAAAAAGAAGGTAATTAAGCACAAGAAGTTGGTGTCATGACTAGCGGGAGGCGTCTAACCCAAGACACGCAGAATCAACACGATAACTTGGAGTAAGTAAAAATAAAGTCTTTTGTCATGAAAACGGGAACTAAGGATGCACTAGTAAGTCCAGTGAGTAGGATGCCGTAAGGCGTTAGTCCAGAGTTCAAGTTCCACGAATAGCGGGGAAGGTGGCGAGCCGAGGTGATTAAGGACGAAGGTCCAGTTGAGTGAGGTGGGTGAGGAAGCAAAGAGGGGAAGGGTAGGAGCCGTGGAGCAGGATGGGACGAAGTCCTGGAGATCCGGGATTTTAGCGGCAAAGGTAATGGACATGGTAGTGGTTCCTAAACAGGGCAAAGCAGACAGGGGTTCAGAGATGAGTCCAAAGTCATAATCCAAAACCAATCCAAGGTCAGAGATTCAAATAATCCAATCACGAATACACAAGCGAGCAAACAGGCGAATAATAGTGGCAGGAGCTAACCAAAACTATAGCAATCATCCGACGTCGAGTGATGTCTCCATCCTCCCTTTATACCAGAGCCTCTGATTGCGAATCCAGCAAAGCTGGTGTCCCCTCCGCTCCTCACCTGTGGAAAATAACCTCAAAGATGGTTTATTGAGGAAGAGCACTCACTTCGGCTCGTGAATCGTGACACCTCCCCCACCCCCACCCCCACCCCCCAACGGGCCCAGCAGCGGACCTGGAGGCTTCAAAGTCCGCGATGAGGGAGGGGTCTTCGATGAACGACAGAGGAATCCACGAACGTTCCTCTGTACCATACCCCTCCCTTTCCACCAGATATTGCACCCCACGTCCCCGGGGACGTGAGTCGAGGATCCGCCAAACCTGGAAGACCAGACCCCCTTTGTAGAGCTGGGCAGGCGGAGGCGGGAGAAAAGAACCTCAAAGATTGTTTATTGAGGAATAGCACTCACCTCGGCTCGTGAATCATCACAAATGGCTCCCTGGTTTAATTCTGATTTACGAACTTTAAAACAAAACTCTAGACACTGGAGAGAACCTAGCGCTCTACACACCAGGAGGAGTCCTACTTATCCTGGAAAATAGTCTTGTGCTTTATAAAAATAAGTTACAATAAGCTAGAACTGCTTATTTTTCATTACTAATTGAGGAGAATAAGAATAATCCTACATTTCTTTTCAGTACAGTTGCCAAACTTACACAGAATCATAGTTCTGAACCATCTATTCCCTTAGCCCTCAGCAGCAATGACTTTATGGGATTTTTCACGAGTAAAATTAATTCTATCATAAACAAAATCATTAGCATCATCCCTAATGCAATTTCTTCTTCCTCAGTAAGTGAGGCAGCATCAGAGGTAACTGTAGAACCTCATCTGTGTTTGAACTGTTTTGATCCAGTTGAGCTTTCAGAGTTATCAAAAACATTAGCTTCATCTAAACCTTCAACTTGCATTTTGGATCCAATCCTAACCAAATTATTTTAAGATGCATTTCCTTTGGTTACTGCACCCATTCTAGATATAATCAATCTATCCTTGGTGAATGGATATGTACCACAGGATTTTAAGGTTGCTGTAATCAAACCTTCACTTAAGAAGCCTTCTCTGGATCCAGATGACCCAATGAACTATAGACCAATATCTAACCTTCTATTTTTATCCAAAGTCCTTGAGAAAATAGTGGCCATCCAAGTATGTGAGCATTTTAACACTAATAATCTGTTTGAGGAATTTCAGTCTGGTTTTAGAGAGTATCACAGCACTGAAACTGCATTAGTGAAATTTACAAATGAAATTCTCATGGCCTCAGATAAGAATCTTGTGTCTGTTCTAGTCCTGTTAGATCTCAGTGCTTCCTTTGACACAGTTGATCGCAATGTTCTTTTAGAAAGGCTTGAACGTGTTGTAGGGATCAAAGGAGCAGTGCTAGGCTGGTTTAAATCCTACCTGTCTGATAGTTTTCATTTTGTAAATGTACATGACAAATCTCCATACCCCAAGGTTACTTGTGGAGTACCACAGGGTTCAGTGCTTGGACCGGTTTGTTTTACTATGTATGCTTCCGATTGGTAAAGTCATTAGACAGCATGGATAAACTTCCACTGTTATCTATCTATTAACCTATCTATTAACCCTGATGAACCTAATCGGTTAGTTAGATGACAGGCTTGTCTTGAAGACATAAGAAATTGGATAACTCAAATCTGCATTTAAATTAAGACAATACTGAAGTTCTCATCTTTGGACCTGAAATTCAAAAACGGAAATTGCTTAGTCAATCACCTGACCTGAATGACATTAAATTAATCTCTGAGAACAAAGTAAAGAACCTTGGTGTTATCTTTCACCAGGACATGTCATTCAAATCCCATGTTAAACAGGTTAGTAGGATTTCCTTTTTCCACCTTCGGAATATTGCTACGATTAGAAGCATCCTTCCCAGGATTAAAAAAATAGATCATAGCTCTGCTTCCCTACATTGGCTGCCTGTTAAATTCAGAATAGATTTTAAGATCCTCTTTCTCACATATAAAGCTCTTAATAATCAAGCCCCATCATACATAAGTGATCTGATTGTTCCATATGTTCCTAACCGAGCACTTCGCTCTCAGACTGCAGGTTTACTGGTGGCTCCCAGAATATCTAAATGTACCATATTTTCCACACCATAAGTGCTATTAAAAACCTTTGATCTTCCCCTGAACTGGCAGTGCACCTTTTAATACGAATGTGCCTTTTTACATGTATTAAGGACGTAAGTGAAGCCAGTCACACCTGCGTCCGCAGGAAAACATTGAGCCGGCCCGTAGCACCGCCCACCCTCACCAAATAAAAGGTGACGCTGAGACGCTAGAGTTGTTCCGCTCCTATTGCACTAAGAAGATGGCTGACAAAAACATCCGGCCCCAGCACATCATCAACATGGACGAGGTCCCGCTTACCTTCGATATCCCGGTGAACCGGACCGTGGAGAAAATGGGGACCAGCACGGTGTCTGTGCGGACGACCGGCCACGAGAAGTCTTGCTTCACCATCGTGCTCGCCTGCCAGGCTGATGGCCAGAAGCTGCCGCCGATGGTCATCTTCAGCGGAAAACTTTACCCAAAGAAAGGTTTCCCGCCGACGTGATCATCAAGGCGAACCCGAAGGGCTGGATAGATGAGGACATGATGGCGGTGTGGCTGCGGGAGGTGTACACCAAAAGACGGGACGGATTCTTCCACACTTCTCCAGCCATGCTGATCTGCGACTCCATGCGAGCCCATCTCACCGACGCCATTAAAATCCAGGTGAAGAGGATGAACATGGAGCTCACCATCATACCGGGTGGATTAACCAAAGAACTCCAGCCACTGGACATCGGGGTGAACCGGTCCTTCAAAGCGAAAGTCCGAGCAGCATGGGAGCGCTGGATGACTGATGGCGAACACACATTCACCAAGACGGGCAGGCAGCGCTGATCGACTTATGCCACTATCTGTGAGTGGATCGCTGATGCCTGGGCTAACGTTTCCGTCCAGACTGTTATTTGAGCTTTCACCGAGGCCAGGATCACAACGGGAGAGCCGAGCAACGACATTGACTCTGACGGTGATAAGCCGAGCGCGCTGGGTTCAGTGCTGGGTCAGTTCTTCATGTCAGACACAGAGGACAAGGATTTTGAGGGATTTATGGACGAGGAATGAAAAAAAAAATGTGAGTGCTTTTTTCAGTATTGCTGCTGAATAATTTTTATAGCTGTTATGGAGCCTTATGTGTGGACCTACCTTTAACTAGGAAGCTGATTGGCTGTGCGTTCTATAATCAGGTGAGCCTTATGTGCAGACCAAACATTTCACTAGGACGCTGATTGGCTGTGCGCCCTATAATCAGGTGAGCCTTATGGTGCGGAAAATACGGTAAGGTGGGAGGCAGATCTTTTAGCTATCAGGCTCCTCTCTTGTGGAACCAACTCCCAGCTTTAGTCTGTGAGGCAGACACCTTGTCTACTTTTAAGACCAGGCTTAAAACATTTTTAATTAATAGGGCCTATGGTTCAAATCTGATGTTAGCCTGGATCTGGACAAGTGGGGGTGTAGAGGGAGGTGGAGTGTACAGTTGGTAAAGATGGCTCTCCCTTGCCCTACCTCCAACATGCCTCCATCTAAAAGGCTAGGATATCCAGAGTTATCTCTGTAGTTATGCTGCTATAGGCTTAGACTGCTGGCGGACATACTGACCACTTTCCACACTCGACTACTTTCTTCTACAATCTGCTCTTTAACTGTATTATTTCCTGCTATTTCAGCTGCTAACTTTATTTTTCTTTAAGTGTTTGTCTCCACAGAAGAAGCTACAATGATGTTCTGTTGAGCTGTGGTGCCCTCATGGAGGGGGCCATTAGCTTGAACACTTTTGCTAACCACTTAAACATTCTCCCTCTCCTGATAATAACATTTTAATTTCTTTGACATTGAATGCGCTACTAGTTTACCCGATTAATTATAGGTTCACTAGGATAAATACAATAAAGTTTATCTCTCACCAAATAGAATATTTACTAAGAAATCACAATGTAACCATAGAAACACTACTTGGTATATATGTCTTAATATGATCACAGCTGGATGCTGAATGATCTCTGCTGTAACAGCTGCATCTGACATGCTTCTTCACATCCTGTCTTAGCTTATGTACTTTCTTGACTTTTTTTTCAAAGTTTTGTAACTGAATCCTCCTTCAAAACTGCCGTACTAAAGAGGAAGGAATAGAGGGAGAACGTTTCATTTCTGCTTTTAAACATCACCTCAAGAGAAACAGAGTTTCCTTTTTACTCTCCCCATCACAGCATTTAGCTACTCACACTGATGGTTGCCATGATGGCAAAGTGGATTCTGATTATTCTTATTATGACTCCAGGTAAGCAGAACAACTCTGACTCTAAACATGACAACAGTAAAAATGCATTTATTACCTTTATTCTTAATGCTTTAGGTGTCTGGAGTGGGACCTGGGGCGTGACACTTACTAACCAGTGTGCTCTCAAAGGGACATCAGTGGTTCTAGAGTGTGAGTACGACTACCCCATCGGGAACATCGTCATGTCAGTACGCTGGTCTAAAGCCCAGCTGATCTCTGGCAGATGGGATCTGATTCCCATCTCTGAACTTCCATCTGGTCCGGATCATTTTAAATACATGGGGAACTATAGAGGAGATTGCAATCTGAAGGTTGACAGAGTCCAGCCCACCGATGAAGGAGCATATTTCTTCAGCTTTGTAACAACACTGAACAGATGGAGAAGTCAAACATATGCTTATTTGTATGTGAGAGGTGAGGAGATAAAAAAGGGAAAAGCTGAAGTTTTCCCAACAGTTCAGGTGAAGGTGAATAAAGGTGTTGTGTTTCAGAGCTGACTGCTGCTGTGCAGCCGAGCACCGTGGCTGAAGGGGACACCGTCAGGCTGAGCTGCAGCTCAGGGTGTCCAGAGCAACCAGAGGTTGCCTGGTTCAAAGATGGACAACGTGTCTCCCATCCAGAGTTCCAGGCTGGCAGAGAGGATGCTGGGGGGTACCACTGTGCCGTCCTAGGCCAGGAGAGGGTCCGGTCCGCTCTTGTGGTTCTGACTGTTCACTGTGAGTTTATGATGCTTGTCCCAGTCTATGTTTATATTTTTTAGACATTTTTATTGATGCAGTGCACTTTTAATTTCTTATGTTTTAAAGTGATGAGAACAAGAGCTCATTTAAAAACTTTCTATTTAGAGTCTGAAGTGTATCATTAAGTTTTACCTTCAAATACAGATCAAAAACACAAATATACACTATAAGAGTTATTTACTTCCTCGAACATCGACCAGCTGTAGCTGACTGGTTTTACCTCAAGTAAAAAATGAGTTCATTTCTACTTAAGACAAAATAAATGTTAGACAAAAATGGAAAAATGTACATTTGTAGCTTAAAAACAAACGTAAAAAGTTAGTTTTTAGGCTTTTTTGTTTCTGCTTTGGTGAATTTGAGGATCATTAAGGTGTTAGTGTTAAATTTGAGCCAGGCCATGATGTAGAACCAGACCTGCTGGGTTTTGGATGTTTTTCTGTGTTGCTTTTTGAGATATTTTAGCCTAACTGATGCCGTCAGACACAAAGTTTATAAGTCATTTCTTGCTTCTCCAGGTCAGCGTGTGGCTGCTGGAACTGATCCAAATATTCCAAAACAATGTGGTTAATAACAATCAATTCATGATTTTAATAGAGATGACTGAATTTCACACAGGACCAGGCTGCTACAGATAATTCTTTAATAAATGAAAGCATCACTGATCTGATTTAAGCCTGAACGAGACAAATAGTTTTTCCACAGCACTTGTAAAAGTTTATGTGGCTTAAATTCCTGATTGTTTCCTGGTTAGATGCTCCAAAGAACGTAACTCTGTGGGTGAGTCCGTCTGGAGCCATCGTGGCAGGAGACACTGTGACTCTTACCTGCAGCAGCGAGGCGGAGCCTCCTGTGAGACAGAACGGCTACAGTCTGTTTAAGGACGGAGAGTTCATCAGCTCAGGACAGAGACACATCATCCAGGACGTCCAGCCCAGTCAGAGTGGACGTTACTACTGCCAGGCTGGGAACAGCATCCGCTGGAGAGGCAGCGACCACATGAACTCATCAGAGGTCCACCTAGATGTTCTGTGTGAGTAGAAAAGCCTCTGGGTCCTGACGGAGGAGATGCATCTGTAAACTCACAACGTGTTTGGATCCGTGTCTCCAGACCCTCCCATCAATGTTTCACTTTCTGTGGATCCACCACACGTTACTGACGGCATCAGAGTGAATCTGACCTGCACCAGCGCTGCCAACCCCACAGCAGACAACTACACCTGGTTCAGAAGGTCAGCAACCTCCAGCTCCAGCCTCTGGGTGCAGGTGGGGTCAGGACAGGTGCTGTCTCTTCCCTCCATGGAGCCAAGCCACACAGGCCTCTACCTCTGCATCGTCAGGAGTCCGCTGGGAGAAAGCAACTCCACGGAGATGATGCTTGCCATGGAGGCAGAGCAGCAAGGTTTGTTTGTTTATAGATGTTGTTTATTAATGAGAGTTGTTTTCTATCTAATGTGACTGTGTTTGCCCTCAGGCAGCCAGTCCCTCCCTGTGTTAGCGGCTCTTGGAGTCTTTGTGATAGTAGGCATCATGCTGCTTCTCTGGTGAGTCAGCAAAAAAATAAAGGAAGTTAGTGTAACTGATGTGTTCCCGTCACGCTTGCTGTCACCACGGCACATTTTGTACATTTCATCCTTTCTACATTCATGTTACATCATGTTTTGGCCGATAACCGATAAACTGACATTAATGCTTTTAAAATCAGCAGAGTTTGTATAGAATGAAAATTATTAAAGTTGAATTTACATTATTTTGTTCACACACTACACACATTTACGGTTCTGAGATGATTGCAACCACTGTGACATGACTAAACAAATACACTCCCCGAAACAGATAAACAAATGGAAACAAGATGGAAAAAATATCGGTTGTTAATATTGGCCCTGTTTTATTTATCGGACCGATACGATATGTTAAAAAATGACTACCATCGGCCGATACCAGTATTGATACGGATATATCGTGAATCTCTACTCTAAATGTGTCCGAGTTTAACAAAAAATGTTCTCTTTGCAGGAAGAAACAGAAGTACAGTTCAGTCAAAAAAGTGAGTTTATGAGTCCATAAAGAAACAGAAAAAATATATAAACATTTGATCTTATTGTGATGTTTTAATGTTTTGGGTTTTTAGGAGGCAGAGTTTGACACCAGACCTAGACCAGTAGAATCAGACTTTAAAGATCCATCCGACTCAGTTTATTCTAACATCTTCATGTTTCCGTCATCTCCTCCAAAGGTCTCCGTTCAGGTCAGAACTGCAGCTTCACACATGGAAAAATCCTCAAAACCTTTAATTACAGTGAAGAAAGAGAAGCAACGGTTCTTCTTTTCTTTTAGGTTCCCACATCTCATGAGGCTGAGGTTGTTTACTCCATGGTGAAGATCAAACCCAGAAACCCAAATCCTTCACACAGCAATAACAGCAGAGAGCCGCATGACTCCTGGTAGGTTCAGCCTCACATTGAAATGTGGAACAGCTAACTAAAGATGTCAAGTGTTAAAGCTCCCAAATATGGCAGCATTCAAGGAGAGAAAGAAAAATCCTGTTTTTAAATGAACCTGCTCTTGCCTCGATTATGAATCAATGCTTTAAAGATGTGGAACACTGGAAAAATAAAACATTTTCATTGGTTATTTCTGATTATAATCAGTCACTCTGAGTTTAACACGCAGGCTGAACATGAAAATAGTCTCCTACACCTAACCTATTTTTTAGTTTTAAATTAAAATTTTCACAATAAGAAAGTATTTGTTTTCTGTAAAATTTTTAACGTTGTTATCAGCATCTCATAATCAATATGGCTGGAGAAAATAAACAGTTGGGGAATGCTCTTGTTTGGGTTTAATAAAACATAATTCTGATTTTTGTTTTTAGGTTGCAGGAAAGGGAGAAGGACAGCTCTGTGATCTACGCTACAGTCAAATCCAGCTGAGCTTGATCGTCCTTTCATCTCCATCGTATCACTGGACGGATTACAGATTACAGATTACTCACGCACTGTTAGTGGTTGTTTAGGACTTAAATTAAATAAATATTTTGTATTCGTGTTAATGTACTTTTACTTTGAGGAACATTAAATTTAACTTTATTTTGAACATGTATTTTTTAACCTGTTGTGTTTGTTGTGTATTTAAGGTCTGTACTGTAAATATTCAAAAGGTAAAAAAACAACTGTTGTTTTTATCATGATGAAACACTCAGTCTAACAAATTGTACAAGGTGTTTTCAAACAAACAAACAAACACCATAAGTGTAAAACATATTAGTTAAACTGCTACCTTCATTGAGTCTCTGCTTCATTAACATAAAGTGTTGTTTATCCGACAGAAAGCTGATCACATTGGCTCTAGTTCAGCAGCAACTGAAAACTTTACTGGAAACTTTTTCTGAACATGACAAAGCCAACTGTTTTACAGATTTGGTTTATTGTTTTAAAAGAAAAATATTGAAAACTTCAGCAGCTTGTTTGTGTCGGTGATCTCTAAGCAACAACGCATTTGCTCCAAAACGATTTTAAATGTTTGAGATCAACAAACAAGATCAAATGTGAAGATTTATGCATTTAACAAGACATTTCATAAACCATAACCAGGGCTGCTGTAAAATCTAATCTCCAGTTCACACCCACTCACAATTATCACCTCTTGTGTCTCATGACTAGCAGCAGCTGGATGTTTATGCTCACAAAGATGTTGTTTTTTTTTTCCAACATCATGCCCACTTTCAAGTGAAGCACACTCCTCTTGCTTTGACATTTTATGTCTTGTGTTTGCTCATGATCTATATTTCTGTTTGGATGCCATCTCTCCACCTCCATGGGTCTCCCTGCCTATTGGCACATTTACTGGGTGGTCAGCTGCTGCTGCTGTCGGTCATTACGAGAATGTGCTTGGCGTCAGATAACTCGTCTTTTTTTGTCTCCCCTGCCTGAGCTGATGCTGACAATGTTGTATGCGAGGCACACCTCACGGCAGTGATGCGCCTGTTGCACAGAGTGCTGCCCTCCATCGATCACATGCCAGACTGTGAATGACTAGTGTTTGAGAACAAACAGATAAGTTTTTCAGAAATCTCTGAGATTTTGATTATTAAATACGCCCAAAATGTATCTGTGTGCACTGTACTCTAGAAAAAGTGCCAGTATGATGACAGGTCAAAATTTGAAGTGGCGGTGGTACTGGTACCACTGCATAATGGCCCAAAGCACTGCTATCTGTATTTAAAAGGTATGAGTCTGATGAACTGATCATCAGCACTGCATCATAATGATAGGTTCCTGACAGCTGCTATTTCTCCCTCCCCAACCCACCTCATGCACCCAGCATCACGCACTGCACAACAATTCAACTAGCCCAAAAACTCCACCTTAGACCGGTTCTCCGTGTGTTGTTTTTGAGATTGTTTAGCCTACTTCCAGTTTTTGGCCAGGTTCTGTTGGAGTTATACTTATTTCTACTGGTCTGGTAGTGATCAGGGGTCTCATTTATCAAACATTGCATTGAATCCTTACTAAAACCGTACTTAAGCTCAGTATAAAAAATGTACTTACCACAAGTAGGTTTGTGAACTATCAAACATGGAGTACGCACAGCTGCATGCAATCTCCGCTTCATAAATCGGAGACTAACGAGAATGTTTCTCAGCTGCATTTTAGTCACATCCCGCCTTCACCATGCCCACTTACTGCCATAAATAGTCGATGCAAAGTGCCTTGTGGATCTCATGCATATACATAAGCCGGCTTGTTGCAGCATTTCGATCATGACCGCAAATCAAGGAAGCGCTATTTCACGAGCAGAAATTCAGGTACCTGTGGGTGAGGTGGAGAAATGAAAGGAAGTGCTTTTGCAAAACAAATAAGAGAAAATCCATGGAGTGGCACAGCATTGCTGAAGCCGTCAATGCTGAGTTCTTCAGAGAGATCTGTGGCGGACATAAAAAAATGATCCGATCCGGATTCGATACCCAGACTCCCGGGTGAAAGTCACGCGCACTAACCAGTCAGCCAAATGGAAATCTCCTTCATCCAAGTAGCCAGGGCGCATGATCAATCAGGTCACAGTGACAGGACACATGTGTTCATGTGTAGCAAAGAAATTCCTACATTTAATTAGAAACCATAAAATGTGAAATATCACGAAATATGAAACATTACTTTAATGGATCTTTAAGTAAATTTAATCAGAAGATTGGATCTTTTTATTGCAGGGATTGAGCAACACTTCGTATTAACTTCAAGAAAAGAGTGAGTCAAGTTTCAAAAGTTTAAAGATTTATTACTAAACAAATTAAACTAGACTAACTTCAACACTAGGTGTATGGTGAGGTAAGAATGAGAATGGTGTATGTGTGAATATTTCAGAACCAGCAAATCCGGAGAAACGATTAGTTCTGATGGGAGTGAAGGTGATGTCTTCACGCTAAGCTTTGATTTGGAGATTCATAAACACAGAAGACGCCATTCTGTCGGCCTACGTACCCTTATGGAAGTTTTCGTTAGATCAGGAATGTCGAGGTCAAGCTTGACCCTCTCTGGAACCGAAGCCGGTAGGAAAAGCAGTGGTTGTCGACCAGACCAGTCTCTGAGATACTTCCGGATCACGGCAGTTTTGTTGGCATCTAGCAAGACCCAAAATGGGGTCGTGATGGTTCAGCTTTTATTCTGAAAGGAACCGTTGCAGCAGTTGGAACAGCAACAGATTTTATCCAGCTTGTCATTGGTTCTTTTGGCTGAAGAGGAAAGTTACGGATTGGTCACTCCAACAACTTCACTAGAAAGCTTTGAACTCGTGTTAAAGATGACGTGGGCATAGTTTTATACTTCGGATGTTTTGGTTTATGGTAGAATGAAAAGATGACAGATTTACCAAGCACCACCAAAACCACACCTCTGTCAGATCTGGAAGATTCTGATTGGATCAGTAAAAGCAATGTGTCATGTCTTAACGCTACGTGTGATCAGTCTCTAGTGGAAACATTTAAAGTTATATTACTTATTATATTCTGTAGGATTATAATATCAAGTAATTAATATTTTCATTTCACAAACTGGTTCACATTTTATTACTGACTAATACTTTGTTTGATTAGCTTATTAAAAATAGAGTTCTTTGAGTTATTAAAAAGAACGTGTCCTTTGTCTTCATTCTTCTCTTGGGCTGGAAAGGAAAACAGTTTAGAAGCAGAGCATGAGACCTTGAGCAATATCTCATGCAGATTAGTTCTTGCTGAGGAGAGGAGGAAATTACTTTTAGGTGGAAAACAGTCATTTCATTCCGTTACACATGACATTCTGTCTCAATCTGTTCCCCTGCTGATTTTCTGCAATCCGTATTCTGCGCTTCATGCTGTGTGTGTGTTTGTGCGTGCGTGCGCATGTGTGTGTGTGTGTGTGTGTGTGTGTGTGTGTGTGTGTGCGTGTGGGGGGTCTTGTTCTGTGTGAAAATAAAGCAGTACAAGTGATAATGCTGCAGGATTTCATAATTGTATCCTTCTCAGCAGCAGCACTGCAGGTGCTCTCCACATCCAAAATGTGTGTAAGCCAGGTCCTTAGTCAACTTAAAGTTGCGCACATTTTTCCGCTAAGTTTTATTTCATAAATCCCAAAGTTTGCGTGGAAAGTTGCTTACGCAGTTTTCCGACCCCGTTTTGTGCGTAAGCAAGCTTGATAAATGAGGCCCCAGGTCTGGTAGTGATCAGGTCTGATAGTGATCAGGTCTGGGTGTGATCAGGTGAAAACCACAAAAGTAGTAGAAATCTGTTAGGGGCAATTTTTTGAACAGAAATGTCAGTTCCAAATTCTCCTAATAGTGTTTTCTTTTATTTGTGGTTTAAGTAAATAAAACTACACCATCAGAAAATGAACACACACTAATGCCAGGGCTTAACGCCAGGAGAAGAAGAAAATCCCATGTAAACAGTAATGTGTGCATTTAATAGTGTAGCGTTGCAGAACATATTCATTGTTATTGCACTGTTGACATTCAGATCTGCAGATTGTTTAATTATACACGTCTGAAATATAAATCAACAAAAATATTTACAACAAAACATAAACTGGAACACAAACAGCAACTTCATTGGTTTAGGTGGAATTAGCTACAGAAAATTAGGTTTTATATGAAGACAGACTCAGCATCTGAAAGAGCACGTATCACACAGCTTTCTGATGTAAGACGACATTTTTATCATTTCAACTGCAGAAAAGATCCAATACTTTATTTTTATAATCACTCCTGATCTTACAAATCCATCAGGTTTTTAATCGTCTGTTAGTGCTAATTTACATTTAGAGTCTAGACTAAGATTCAGAGCCAGGCTCATTGAGACGGGCTTGTGCTTCAAAAAACCCTATTGCTGTTTAGTTCAGAGGCCCATGGGGATTATGTCCTTCATGATGTTTTGTTTACTAAGTTGGTCCTTTGACGTTTTTTTTGTGCTGAAGGTTTTAGGTTCCACGTTTATTCCACAGCCCTGGTGGATGGTCAGTGATGCATGCAGGCTCGTGAACCGAGACAATCCTCTGTAAATAGTTTCAGTGGGAGTGGAAACTTGATGAGTGGGGAAACCACAGCTGTTCATCTCTCAGTCACTGGATCACAGTCTCATCAAGAAAAAAAACTGTCCTTATTCTCCTCACACAGTAGAAAGGTTTCATATTCGGGCCATTTTGTGAACACCTGGAGAGTTGTGATAGTTCTATGGAGAAATAAGAGCAGAAGTATTTGTTTAATCAAGATGAAACATGTCTGAGAAAGAAATCGTTTGGATGTGTTTCTATAGAATTAGAAGGACTGAGACATGATTATTACCCTCATGGCTGTAGATATCCAGGGCAAAAACCGGGACACTCGGGTGTACACACCAGGTTTCTTGGCCATGGCACAGCCGGTTCCCCAGCTCACCACCCCCAGCAGGCGATAGCGACTGGTCTTAGAAAGACAGTCGACTGCTACAAAAGGACCACCGCTGTCTCCCTGAGTTCACACAGAGCCATGTCTCAAATAAAGATAAACCAAGAACAGATCTGAAACCAGATTATTTAACACTTTTAAACACTTAAACACCAAGTCTGCGTACTTGGAGCACTAAGGAAGATTTAGGTCTAGGTTTGGTACAAGGTCCATACAAGAGAAAAGGCATATATATTAGCATAATGTAATTTATGTCTAAACAGGGTCTGTGAGCTGGTTTCTTCACCATTGAATAAAATGTCCAATTTTTTTGTCCTATTCATCAAATCTGAACCACAAACTGCAGTGCCAAACAGGACAGATGACAAACAGGACAGGTGTCCAACAGGACAGGTGTACTACAGGACAGATGACAAACAGGACAGGTGTCCAACAGGACAGGCGTACTACAGGAAAGATACCAAACAGGACAAGTGTCCAACTGGATATATATCCAACCGGTGCATGAGTTTGTCCAACCAATCTTCATGTGTTTTGTGGATTTAGAGAAGGTGTTGAACCACGTCTCTCGGGGGCCCTCTGGGGGGTAATTTGGGAGTATGGGGTACCAGGCCCTCTGATACGGGCTGTTAGATCCCTGTATGACTGGTGTCAGAGCTTGGTTCGCATTGTCGGCAGTAAATCGGGCTCATTTCCAGTGAGAGTTGGACTCCGCCATGACTGCCCTTTGTCACCGATTCTGTTCATAACTTTTATGGACAGGATTTCTAGGGGCAGCCAAGGTGTTGAGGGGATCCGTTTTGGTGGCCTAAGGATTTAGTCTCTGCTTTTTGCAGATGATGTGGTCCTGTTAGCTTAATCAAAATATGATATCCGGCTCTCATTGGAGCAGTTCACAGCATGAGAATCAGCTCCTCTAAATCTGAGATCATGGTCTTGAGTCGGAAAAGGACAGAATGCCTTCTCCGGGTCAGGGTCCTGCCTCAAGTGGAGCAGCTTAAGTATCACGGGGTCTTGTTCATGAGTGAGGGAAAGATGGAGCGGGAGATCAACAGACGGATTGGTGCTGTGTCTGCAGTGATGCGAGCATTGTACCGATTTGTTGTGGTGAAGAAAGAGCGGAGTCAGAAGGCAAAGCTCTCAATTTACCAGTCGATCTACGTTCCTACCCTCACCTATGGTCAAGAGCTTTGGGTTGTGACCAAAAGAATGAGATCGCGGATGCAAGTGGCCGAAATTAGTTTTCTCCACAGGGTGGCTGGGCTCTCCCTCATAAATAGGGTGAGAAGCTCGGTGTTAGACTTTTTAATGTATTACTCTCTTAAATGTTTTTTTAAGTAATCATATGTTAATCTTATGATTGTGAAGTAAGCCACAGGGCTTTCTCCTTTCCTCTTGGCTATGGAATGCGGCCTGATAAGCATGGGGGTTGGGGAATGCTCTGCCTGACAACAGGAAAGTTAGCAGGCTGAATGAGTTAGCAGTTTGTGGCTGCTAGCAGCCACCCCTGTAATTTGAGACTTCCTTTATAGAAGGTCCCGCCTTAGATAGGAGCAACAGTGTTATTGGTTAAGTGTTGAGAGTGATGGATTGTTCTTTGTCCTTGTTCCCCTGTGTTTCAATAAAACTGGCTGGAGAGAGAGGACACACCAGAGAGTTGATTGGAACAGGGCCTAAACAGGTTCTGAGCCAGTCTCTCGCTGCTGCCTCTCGCAGCATATAAAACCTACTGACTTCTCTCCTGTGTGGTTCATTTCAGGATATAAAAATACCCAACACTCAGTCATCCGGGAGGGGCTCGGAGTAGAGCCGCTGTTCCTCCACGTCGAGAAGAGCCAGTTGAGGTGGTTCGGGCATCTGATAAGGATGCCTCCTGATGAGGTTTTCCGGGCACGCCCAACTGGGAGGAGACCTAAAGGAAGACCCAGAACACGCTGGAGAGACAATCGCTGTGTCTCAATTCAGGGTCTGCATCCTTCAAAGGACCCAGCCTACTCGGCCGACGTGGGCTGCGTTCTCCGTCGGTCAAGTAGACTGGATGTTAATGGCTGTGAATTTGGACAGGCCTAGCCTTCATTAATTCCCTCCACTCCCTTGGCGAACGTTCCGTCGCCTAGCAACCGTAGAACCGCTGAGCAGATGGGAGAAGGAACTTTAAACGATGGAGCTCAAAGTTTTATTTAGCTTTTTAATCATTTCCTTGGTTCTGGAGAAGTTAGAAGAAATGAATCGCCGGCGAAGGCATTTTCTATTGCTCAAGCTGAGACACAACAATGAACAGGTAACATAATTTCTATTAAGTAGGCTTTACTAATGGGCTACAGCTAGTTTAATGGATAGTTTTAGCAACGTTTTACACGTTGTAAACAGACTCTGTATTAAATTCAAAACTTATACTCAAATATAAACTATAACCTCAGATCTTTTATTCTTACTCAACTAATAAATATTATGAATAAAATAATATGAATGCTATCAGTGCTCACCCATGTATAAAATTCACTTTGCTGAATTAAAACAACAACGAAAAACCTCTGTGTAGCGTCTTTCTGTCTAATTATCTTATGTAATGGCCATACATGTGCTGTGCGCCGGAGACCTGCATGTGGCTGCTGCGCCGCGGCTTTTATTTGAGTGTGTGTGTGGAAAACCTTTTTTTTGTTGGTGCGGCCTATATTGAGGTGCGCTCTATAGTCCGGAAATTACGGTAATCTCAAAAAGTACCATTTTGTGTAATCACGTTTTTTCTCTCACAAATAACTGTAGGAAATCTCAGTAAATGCTTGTATTCAGTGCCCACCCAAGTATAAAAGCTTCTGTTGTTCCGTATATCAACACCTCTCATTCATTTGATACTTCTCTCCTATATAGTACCATCAATGTCCTCTAGAAGGACATCTAGTGGACAAAAATAAGAACTTGTTAAATGACTTCCAAAACTTTATTACAGACAGCACTTTCAAAATATAATAGATCTTTTGGCCTTCATTGCATACATTGTTCAAAAGTTAAGTTTTTAGAAATTTGAAAGGATAGCATGAAAATGTACAATATTATCACATTTACATTGAGAATAATGTTATGTTTTATAAAAACTTGAAATTACAGCTTTGAAATAAAACTTTATTTTTTCTGTATTTCTCTTTAACCAGGCTAGACCCAGATACTGCAGGATTAACCTGAGTGTCCCAGTCCTGGACCGTTTCTTCAACCAGCAAGATCTGAGGCCAGACTTTCGTTTGAGCAGGGAGTCCCTTTCAGTGCTGCTGAATCTGCTGAATCAAGATCGGCGTCATGGTTGGGGTGCCACAATTGAGACCCTGGTGTTTCTTTTCTGGTTGGCAAGTGGAGCATCTTACAGGTTGGTCTCCAGAGTGTTCGGGATACCTCGTTCAACTGTCCACCGCGTCGTCCACAGAGTCACGGAGGAGGTTGTGGCCATTCGCCACCAGGTCATCTACCTTCTAAAAACCCCTGAAGACCTGGAGGTGGTATCCCGGGGGGTTTGCAGGACTGGCACGGCATAGAGCTTTTTTTTAAAGCCGCTGGTGCCATCGACGGCTGCCACATCAGGATCAAGCCTCCAAGCTGCCCTGATGGTCACTGCTACAGGAACAGGAAACTGTCCCCCTCTATCATCCTGCAGGCTGTGTGTGACCATCAGGGCAGCTTCATTGACACCTACGTGGGCTGGCCAGGGTCGGTGCACGACTCTAGGGTGCTCCGCCACAGCCCGCTGTACAGGCAGTCAAGTCTACCCTCCTCCAGGGCACTTCATCCTCGCAGATGGTGGGTACCCATGCCTGCAATGCCCACTCCCACTCATCACTCCCTACAAACGTGGGAATCAAGGTGTGGCTGCCCGGCGCTTTAACAGTCATCATTCCAAGAGCACGCACTTTGATAGAGCGTGCTTTTGGAATGATGAAAACCAGGTTCAGAGCCATCTTCCTGCAAGCGCTGGCGGTCCACCACACTTTTGTGCCTCATGTAAGTGTACGAAATGTGGCTTTTCTCATTTCTTTGAAATATATTTCAATTAAGTAATTAATGTATTACAGGTTGTTACCGCTTGTGCCATCCTCCACAACATCTGCCTCAGTGCTGGCGACTTTGTGGTAGTGGAGGATGAGCCTGAGGAGGATGGTGGAGATGATGAGGGGGAGGCTGGTTTGGAGGATGTCAGCGGTGCACGCTGGTGGGACCAGCTGTGCTGTGAGGTGTCTGCCCTGGAGGAGGTTCCATCGGACCATGACTACTGTTAACAGGTAACAAATGAATTAATTGACTTTTTTTTAAATAGTCTAACATTTCAACAATAGTAAGTAGATTTTGTATTTATTATCTCCTATTTGTCTATTTATGTTTCAGTCTTGGTCATGTGGCAGCCGTCGACAGCCAGCCCTGCAAACCGATGGGCGACACAGTGGACAGTCAAGACACATCTTGAAGCTCTCTGTGCAGACCACCCAGTAGGATGCTTCACTTGTCAACCAGAAAAGAGCAGCTACGGGTCTCAGCTCCAGCACTCCATGACATTCATCTGTTCAGCAGATCCAGCAGCCCTGTTAGAGACTTCCTGCTTCAAAGTTGTTGAAGCGGTCTTGGAACAGGACGCTCAGGTTAATCCTGCACTAAATATGCATTTTTGCTATGTTTCTTTGTCAAATATTTCTCTTATTTTGCATGTTTCCCTTCATGCTTTTGTGTATATAGTAGGGCCCGACCGATATATCGGCTAGCCGATATTATCGGCCAATATTGGGGTCATTAACAGTATCGGCTATCGGCCAAAAAGACGGCCGATATTACGCTACCTATCCAGCAGATGGCGCCAGCTTTATGAACTCATGTTGTGTGGCTCCACTCCTTTGAACTTTGAACGCAAATTATTGTTTTGGAACTTTTTTATTTATTTATTCTTATTTATGTTTCTTATGTACAATTATTTCCTGTCCAGGGTGAATAAGTTCACCAAGTTAACTTCCACAGAGTGTTACTCTGTTACAAAGCACAAGTATTACATTTTATTTATTGCTGCATTTTTATTATTTTAATATTCT